CGGCTCGTCTGCAGCCAGGAGAACGCGTGTCTGCACTGGCTGGTGAAAGGAGGGAGAGCTCTGGGGCACACGATGTTCCCTGCCCTGCCTGGGTCCTGCAGAGGCACCAGCAGCTCTCCCCTGATCTCAGGGTAGGGGTCTGTAAATCCCGTGCTGAGCAACATCCCTTAATCCCTGCAAATAATATCGTGAAGAGACGGTTTTGCTTGGTTTCTGCTCCCTTTTGCCCGGCAGCGGGGCCGATGCGGCAGCAGGAGGAAAAGCAAAGACTGCAAGAACAGGGGGTGAGGCCAGAAATGAGGAAGGAAAACACAACTTGCTTAGAGGAGAGGAAATAAAAAACGTCTTTTCCATGGCAGAAACACCCCGATCCATTACAGGGACAGATTCAGGAGCTCTTGGTATTCTCTCCCCGGCATCAGGAGCTGGGCGGGATGAAGGAGAGGGAGCGGTGATGTCCTGGTGATACAGGCACAGTTCACACTTCGCTTCTTGTTTGTTTATTCCTGTAACAGAAATACCTGCGAGGGGCGAGGGCGGCAATTGAAAACTGCAGGCACAAAGGACCGTGAACTCCAGCTGCCTCTCCAAATCCAAACATTTTTATCAGCCTGATAAAAATCAGACGTTTATCACCTTCCCCGCCACGAGCGTGACCCTTAGCAGCTTTTTTTTCAAGTCCTTCCAAAGAAAGCGCCATCAGCAGTGAAAACTACTCAGCATCCAGCTGGCAAGAGGAGGGATCAACCACTTTGTTTCCTTCCTGACATTTCTGAAAGCATCTAATTCCCCGAAAAATATTGCAGACAATTTTCTTGACTTCTTTAGTATCCCTCTAAAATTCAAAATGTAGCATTTTGTTTGTTTTGGTTTTGTTTTAGTTTATTTTTTGTTTGGGTTTTTTTTTTTGTGTTTTTCCCCTGGAAACCATATAAATGTCCCTTGGTCAGTCCAGAGGAATAAATTTTTCTGTTGCAAGAAAATGTCATTAACACACAAATAGGAATCTGGGCAGCTGCCGCCTGACTTTTGCAACCACCCTCCCGGGGTAGGGAGCACTTTGGAACGGCTTTAAACCGGATGAGAGTAGATTTAGATGGGATATTAGGGAGAAATTCTTTTGTGTGGGTGTGCTGAGGCCCTGGCACAGGGTGCCCACAGAAGCTGTGGCTGCTCCTGGATCCCTGGAAGTGTCCAAGGCCAGGTTGGAGAGGGCTTGGAGCACTCTGGGATAGTGGAAGATGTTGCCCATGGCAGGGTGGTGGGATTGGGTGATCTTGAAAATCCCTTTGAACCCAAAACACTCTGTGATTCTGAACTTTGTGCCCACATTCCAGGCTGATAATCCAAGGCCATGCTGGAAACTGCTGCAGATGATGCTTCCCTGACATGAATGGAGCCCATGTGTGGCTGCACCTACACAGTGATGCACTCACAGCTCCCAGCCACCCTCTCCAAATTCTAACTGTGCAAAGAATTCCTGGATGTGTGACTCGGACCCCACCAGGCATCTCCTCCCCTGCACCCCCGTGCCACGTCCAAAGGAGAGGATGCGTGTTGCACTGAATGCAGGCGAGAACGTGACTGGTCCTTCCCTTCCAAGTTTCCTTTAGAGGGAATCAAATAAATAAATTAAATACAAAGACATTAAAAGAGGAGGGTGAATCATGGCTTAGTCAGAGTTGGGGCTCGCCAGAGCAATCACTGCTGGTGCTGGCATTTTAATGCCAGGGGGAGGATGTCAGGGAAGGCTGGCTGGTGACCAGTAGGTTCTTCCAAAAGAGATGGAGAATGAAGTCTGGAGCTGTTATTTTGGGATGCATCCAGAGCCTAATACCACTGTTCAGGATGGGTTGCTAGGTGAGTTTGACGTTGGAGCAGCAGTGGAACAAAAGAGGGAATTGAGAGGTTTTAGTTTTGGTGTTTCTGAGAAGTTTGAAGACTGTAAACCCCATACCTATTCTCACAGAAATGTTTTTTTTTCCCCTCCTCTCCCAGACTCTCCCTTTTTGTACTTCCCACTACCACCTCTCTGGACCTGCTGCATTCATCCTTTGGATGCTCAAGGCCAGTTTTTTTTCCCATCTACCACTTTCATATTTCAAACCCTGGCATTACATTTATAGCTCTGTCCCTTCTCATTTATTACGTATTTTCCAGCTCCTGGTTGGGGCATTGTCCTGGTTTAGGGACAGGTATATATGGCACATCTCCAGCCTACGCTGGCTGTTGATACCTCCCTCCACCCTGTGTCACACAGTGGGGCTGTGGGTCAGCATCACTGGCTGTCCCATGTCACACTGTGCCTGTGTGGCTCCAGAGGAGCTGACACCTCTTCCTGACAACATTCAGGCTGCATCAGTGACTTGATTTCCCGAAAAATCGCTGAGCTAAGCACCCCTTTGGGCTCTTTGCACAGCAGCTGCGAGCAACATCTTATTTACCAGTTCAGGTGCTATTTTTAGGGAGCTGGGATTTTGCATAGCACGGTTTGGGAGGGGGAAAAATAATCCTCTGAGTGCACCTAGTGCAGTCCTGCTCCCTGCCCTCTCCCGGGGGTGCAAGTGTCTTATAAATAGTAGTTCTTCTTCCAGCTGACCTCCCTCGGAGCAGCTGGGTGCTGGTGCCTTTGAAATCCAGGCCACTTATTTAGGAGTTGAAGCTTTCCGCTCCAGTTATTTAGGAGATTCTAAGCCAAGAGTTACTAGGTTGATCTAATTTGAAGCGACTGTGATTTTAATTCAGGCAGGGTTTCGCTTTCGGGCTCCTTTTCATGTCGTGGGGGTGGTGATTTGTGAGGTGGAAAAGAGCCATGGAGAGGGGAGAGAGCTGCTGGAGGAAGGGGGATGATGCCCAAATTCCTTGTCCTGTAAAATCATGTGAATTTTTGTCCTCCTTCTGACTCATGCTCTAGCTGGGAACCGACTTTCTGTTGCCCTACATGTGAAAAGGATTTGGGGATTTTATGTAGAGTGGTCCAGGGAGGGCTGTGCCTGACTCCCATCCTATCCTTGCCAACTGGAGCACTCACAGCTCTCTCCCATCTTTCTTCCCACATCCCAAATCTCTGGTTCTTTTCCAGATCCCTCATAGTAGCTTTTTTTAAAATTTATTTTTATTTTTTTTTCCTTTCTGCCTGTGAATATTTTTTCCCTGTGTAGGAGAGGGAAAGATTGTGCACTTTTTACTCCATCTTGGCTCCATGTAAGGAATTAGCCAGAAATATCTTCTTTCTAAATGCATTATAAAAATACAAGCCTTGGCTTCCAGAGGGGGAAAATGTCCTAAGTAAAAAAAGCGATTGAACATTTTAGGTATCTGAGATGCTCCTTATCAGGCTTTAAATTTTGAAGCAAAATTTGCTTTATTAAACACCATCAAAGCAGATGCTCCCACCTCTACAGCTCTTCCCACCCACTACACATTCCCACATTTCCCTGCTGTGGCAAATTCCCACCCAGAATCCTCCCAGTGAGACCCCTCCATGCCAGGTGGGATCATCCCCATCAGTGCTGGGGGACAAGGGGGTTTGATCAGTTGCGTGTTTGGGATTTGGGTGTCATCACAGGAATTTTCAGGGTGGTCCCAACCCTTCCCCGTGCTGCAAAGAAAGGCAGTGTGGGTGTGTCAGCATTGCTGGGGTGCTGTTTGTGCCTGATTTAGGGTGGAAACGTAACTTGCAGGAACTTGGAGAGTGGATCAAGAAGTTTAACAAAATAATAATAATAATAATAATAATAATAATAATAATAATAATAATAATAATAATAATAATAATAATAAATGACACAATTAAGAAAAATAATAGTAAAATGATAAAATAATATAGATAAAGTAATTATATGAAAACGTTAAATAATAAATAATTAAACGAGATTATTAAATTAAAATAATATGAAATTTTAAAAATATCTATTAAAAGTTAGCATTATGCGCCCGTTTGTGAGCAGTGGCTGCCCTCGGAGCATCCCCAGCGCTGCGGCCGCCCCCGAGCCGCTGTTGGCGGAGGGATGAGGGGGGGCCCCGCCGCCTCTCGGCCCCGCCCGGGCGCGGAGCGGGGCGGAGCGGCCGCGGGCAGAGGCGGAGCCGCCGCATCCCGGGCATCCCCTCCGGGGGAGGCGGCTCGGCACCGCATGTGCGACGTGAGCGACGTGCAGGAGCGCCCGGCCGGCATCCCCCGGCCCCCCGGGACCCCTCGGCATCCCCCGGGACCCCCCGGCCCGAACCGCTGGCCGCGGAGTGAGGGGCGCAAGGGGCGCGCCGGCGGAGCCCCCCCCCCCCCCATCCCACCACTGTGTACTTAGGGTTCCTTTTTATTTTTTCTTTTTTTTTCCCCTATATTTTTATTTTTAAAAATTGTATTTATTTTATTTATCGCTAGTTTATTTCTTTTTGTAATTGCATTTTTTTTATTTTGCTCAACTTTATTCCCAATTTTTTAGTTTATTTCCTTTTCCTCTTCTTATTTTCGCCTCTATTCCCTATTTTATTTTCTTAATTATTTTAGTTAATTTTGTTCTTTCTCTTTACATTTTTCACTGCGTTTTACCTTTTTAAAATAGTTTTTGAAAAAGCGATTTATTTTCGAGTTTTAATTTTCCTTTTTTAATAAAAAAAATCAACTTCCATCATTTCTGCATCATTTCCCCTCGTTGGTTGAAAAGACGTGAGAAATTAAACAGGGCATTTATTTAACTATAAATATTTTAGTTTGGGGGTCCCCAAAGCCGCGGTATTGGGGGGGGGGGGGGGGG